GTGGGGGAGGAATGGTCTTGTAGCTCAGTTGGGTTGTCCATACTGAACAGAGAAGACTTAATCTCACCGAGGCTTAGAACCTTCTCCTAATCGGATTGTGTTTGTGTATATTTGTGTATGTTTTTTTCGTCAACCCTGAAAACAATCGCCTTGACCGGAAGGGCTTGTTAGTCTTATTTCATAAAAAATACATGGTTTTACATTAGCGTATCAAAACGATAATCACTCTACTCCTAGCTGACTGTTTCCTCTCGCACACAGACACACACACACACCCTGTGCTGATGTCTACCAGTAGTGCACTATCAGTCCGAGTAAATTCACAAACCGTACACAAAATAAAGTGCATACCCCGTCCAGGTGTAGTATTGTGNTTGTATAAATAACACCGACATTAGATGTTACCAATCATCAAAACTTTGGTTAACTGTATGTGTACACACATATCAGAACAGTGTGTCAGGTGATCGCATCCGGAATGTTTGTGATGTGATATAATTCACCCTGACAAAGATTGTATATACTATTGTGAAGAATAATGAGACACATTTGAACATTCGGTATCATTCTGTAACATGTATTTTAGGTGGAAATAAACCTCGACCAGCAGTAGTATCTGTATTGTTCGAGGGTGGACGGGTGCGTGCGTGTGTCTCCAGACAGCGTACTTGCCACTATCTGTCACAGTCGCGATACACCGGGTTTGATACTGAATGAATTTAGTCATATTTGGAATACAATGACTAATGTTTGCCTATGGATAAATCAACACTGTATTCGCCCTTGAAGGTTGAATAGTAGCATTGTTTTGTGCTGTGATCTACTTCATTATGTTGAATTCTGCTTGATAAACAACCAAGAAAAGAAAGTATCTCGCTCTCCATGTGTATATGTTTTTATTACACTTTTTAGTGGGATGAATACCAGACGGGCTTAAGCGTATAGTCACCTAGACCTGCTGTTTGCTGATGGAGACCCGTAAACTTAGGCCCGGGACTTTGAGTTGCGAACCACAGAAGGCTCCATTAGCTTAGGTGTGATATTAAACCGGACGACAACTGAGCTGCTTACCACCAAATTTCGGTGGCGGTGGCGGGTTTCGAACCTTGAACCAAAGGATCCGAAGCACGCCGGTAACAGCGACTAAAGCACATATACATATTCTTTATCATCGTATTAGATCGATTGATGTCAATTAAGGTTTGGAACTTTTCCATTTTAGGCCTGTATTGGAAAATTGTCCGAATGAATTGAACGGGACGCTCAATTGAGCTCCCGCGTTAAGCGACCCGTTTCACCTGAGGATAGAATTTCTGAAAATTTCTGTGAAATACATATCGAAAAGTGATTGTGTTCTTCTCTCGGTGCCGAGAAAAGTTTCGTCAGTAAACAGTGTAAACTAGTCACTGAGTTTTTCAAATGAAAAATAACGATCTTGTCCATTGCTAGTAATCAATCTGTAACAAAAGCGAAAGAAAATCGGTCAGAGATTCCAGGATAACCGATTTGAACATTACTAATGGTGTTCGTCAGGGTGGTCCACTCTCAATCAATGATTCGGTCCCGGATGATGGAATGAGCTCATGTGATCAGATGTTACGCATTCGATCACGCACTAATGGAGTCTACCAGGTCATCGCCTCCCGACTTGAAAAGAGTGGAGGGAATCCCGTCCGGTCCTGCTGCTTCTTCAGGGCTTGGATGTATGATCGAACTTCTGCTGCAGTAGGAGGTTCACGTGACTTTTCCCATGGAGCCGCAACTATAACAGACGATATAGTCTGATTAGCACCTGGCCAGCCGAACTGTTCGTTGAAGTAATCCGCCCACCGGTCAAGCCGTTCTTCGATTTTGTGAATAGCTTGCAGATTGTTTCACTAACTGTGGTTCTCCGACCTCCAGTGTTGCGTATCAGTTGGAACAGTCTTTGACTGTTCCCTGATGCAGCTACGACTTTCATTTAACTAGCTATCGTTACCCACCAGTTCTCACAGTCTTTCTTGAGGCTCTTTTTGAGTTGTCGTTGCAGACGCCACATACCCCTTCCTTGATCCCGGGCGGTGGATATTTGTCGCTTTTTCTCTACCAGTGCTACTGAATCATCAGATATCCAATGCCTTGGGTGATCTACTGTTTCATACCAACAACTCTCGCAACGGAGTGCATTGCTCGTCTAATCTGACCCCATTGTTTATCTACACTACCACCCCGTCGAGTGTTTGGCTCTTACCTTAGTTCTGATTAGAAACGGGTGCGAACGGCTGGATCAGATAACCGATAATCTGCCAACCGTGTTTGATGGGTTTTCTTCTGACCAGTGAGTTGGAGAGTGAACTGCATCTACATTAATGCATGATGAGATTCAACGCAGGTGGTCTAATAGGACCTGCAGTTTGTACTGAGCCACGCCAACGTTAGCTTACTGCTATGTGGTCGATTTGGGTTAGCGTGCCAGTTAAATTGGAGCGCCACGTTGCTGTCCATTGAGAGCTGTGACGGAAGTTGGTGCTGGATAGGAACAGATGATGATCTGCGCAGAACTGAAGAAGTCGATCGCCATTATATGTTCACTGACAGGGCAGAACACAACGACCACCCAGGCAAGCTTCCGATGCGCTCAGTTTTCCAACTTGCGCGTTAAAATCACCTGCGAGAACAACTATATCGGAGCTTCGACTCAACCGAATGAGTTCGTTGAGTTTTTTCATAAAACGCGTCTTTTTGTGCGTCAGAACTGCAGTTGGTCGGAGCATACGCTGAAATGATGAATAAACACCATTTGGTGTTGCTTCCTTTTTCGGACGCTGATAGACCCTTAGAGTCGCATCGCACACAAGCGACTGTTGACGAGGACCCAATCGAGTAGTGCAGCTTCGGCTTGATTATTGAGTACAATTCCCACGCCACGCTGGCCTACTGAACGGGCATGGTCATCAACTGAAGTGCGGAGGAAGAACGTCGAAGACAACCCCGGTGCACTCAAGTGGTTTATAGTACTAGGATCCTGGATTCGCGTCTCCGACACGCAACAGACAATAATCCCCAAAGAGTCCATTGTACGCGCCAGATACGCTTGTTGACCTATCTGCATCAAATTCCTCACGTTGAATACCCCCGGATTCAGTGGCTGACGGGGCTTCAGAATATACATTTTATTTTTTGATAAACTACTAACCTGGCTACTTGGTGACGAACTTTGGCGAGTGACAAAAAAATTGTCTGAGAGAATGTTACGGGTTGGAAGAAAGGGTAAAGGGAGAGGGTTAGGTACGGAAGACAAAGAGTTAAACAAAGGTTGGGATATCACAGCAGTAGCCCACTTATCACTACCCACCCCGCTCGATGCAATGGGCAGCGCGGTGCTGATTATCCTGCGCAAAGACCGATGCAGTATGAAATTATTTTTTGGTTATGTATGCATTTGAGTTTGATGGACGGGCACTGCCAGGGTGTCCAGCCACCAAGCAGGAAAACAATTAGGGCTGTCGTCTAAATCCTTCAGTTCTAACAAGAACCTGACCTTAAAGCAGCGGGTGAAGTGAAGTAGAGGCCTATTTACTTGGATCAATTACTCCCCTACCGTTTTACCGACTGAGACGCTAACTCGAGTCGAACTCCCAACCTAGAGGACCAGGAAACTGAATTTTGTCTGACCTCTACCCTTCGATCTTCCAGGCATGATTAGATATACTGGCTTGACAAAAGCCATCCTGTGTAGCTCGTTGGGCCACAGAGGTGCACAAGCCATCACACACCACGTCAAGATGCAGTCTCGTCGTGATAGCCTGGAGGGGGGGGGATTATCCAATCCTGATTCCGGTTACACAGGCTATTCACAACGTTTCTGGATCCGGTCACAATCTCGATCAATGACCAGA